AAAAAAAAAAAACAATGTGGGGAGAGAAAAGTTGCATCTGACATATATCATAGCAGAGCGAGAACAATACGAAGATCATTGGTATAAACACAACTTTACTTTCAACTGCAAAACTCGCGTTTTCTTCATATCCTAATAACCGTCCCAAATGATATCATAAATTGGAAAGAACAAAAAAAAAAGGAGGAAATAAAAGTCACAAACCACTCGAGAGGAAGTAAGCCATACTAATATGAGAATTGAACACATTCAACTCCAAGGCTGCTTTCATGATTCTTCTGCAGTGGCAGCATCCGCATTTTCATCAGTGTTTGTCATTTCTAACCGCTGGCGTTTAAAAGCTGAAAGTAAGATGAAAAGCAGAAATCAGATTTCTTAGGCCGTGTTTGGTAAACATATAAGCATAAGCTTCTTGTATTCAAATAAGTTTGGTTTGGTAGGACGAGTCGAGCTTTCCTTGGGGAGCTTTTCAAATAAGGCCATTGAAATTTCAATTTCAACTAGTTTATCAGCTAATTTTACCAAACATTTTTATCATATAAGCTAGCTTTTCAGCCATAAAAGTCATAAACTATCAGTTATAAGCTCAAAATTCACTTAAAAGCGATAAGCTAGCTTATGAGCTGGGTTTACCAAAATAGCCTTAAACATAAAATTGTAACCAATTGAGGAACTAAACCAAAACGCAAGGGGACACATTAAGTTAAAGTTTCACTTAAGGCCTCCCACAAATTCGGCTCACTAACTAAGCAGGAAATCAAAGATTCACTATATCTCTTGCTCGCGAAATTATTATTAACAAATCACAAACATCATTACTTTTCAGAAAATCCAAAAGATGCAACAATTTGCATCATTGCAATCTTAAAGAAAAGTAAAAACCAATCAAATGATCTACCAAAATCGAGTCAGCAATAAGAAAAGTCCCCACGCTCTTCAAAAAATCAAGGAAAAATAAGAAAGAATATACAACTTACATTTGATAGACGACCCAGCAAGGCAAGTCAGCCTAGATTTGGTATTGGCCTCAGTTAATGGCTTTGGTTTCTTCTTAGAAGCCATCCTCATATCCCAAACGCGAATTACCCCATCAGAAGATGCAGATGCCACCATGAAAGGATCTTCGTTCTCTTCACTGTTTTCCGACAACACAACAATGCCTTTGATGCGGGCCCCATGAGCATCCTCGATACTGTAGGCCACTTTTCCACTGACCGTGTCCCATGCCGTAATGTTTCTATCTTCTCCACCTGTGAACAGAATCCCATTCTGCAGTAGAGGGAACATACAACAAATAATCAGCACTGTCGAATTAAGGAGTGTTCTCTGCAATGCTTATATCAAGATTTGATTTTTTTTCTCTTTTTTTTTTTTT